TCCCTCCCTCCCTCCCTCCCTCCCTCTCCCTCTCCCACACACACAGTTTGGAGAGCCCCCCCCCTCTATCTCTATCTCGCTGTGGTGGCAGTTGTGGCACTTCAGTGCCTGGCTGGCAGGGCGCTCCAGTAAGCCGGTGCTGGGTAAGGGGGGGGGGGAACTCTGCACACACACCTCCGCCGTGCTTCTTGCTCCACCACCACCCCACCCCACTGCTCAGATGGCTCCTGTTGCCCATGCCACTGCCAGCAGCTTTGGTGCCCTGTACATATTGCTCTTTCTCCCATACACACACACACACATACACAATTGGATTGTTCTCTCTCTCTCTCTCCCCCCCCCCTCTCTCTCTCTCTCCCCTCTCCATTTGCATGCAAGCGTGCCCCATGCTCCATGGGACAACGTCTCATTAAGTATTTAAGTGGAAAGTAGTTGGGGACGGGAGGAAGGATCAGGAGACCGGCAAACATTTTTTGTGCCAAGAATGAAAGTTTCTGAACCCTGGCTCTCTGTAAAAGAGGATGGGTGCCTGAATCTGTGCACTATTATAGCACCCAGGAGTGTCCATTCTTGACACAAGAAACATTTCCCAGCCAACTCTCCTCTCCCTTCCTGAAAGCAAAGGCAAAGAAACAGAGAAACAAGAGAGGAGACAGATGTTTGCAATGCAAGTGAGTCCTTGTGGCAGGAAGGGAGGGAGAAGCATGAGGTATTTTTGTGGGTTGGGGAGGTCTTGAGGGCCTGTTTTATCATTAGCTCCTACCCCCCACCCCATTGCCTTCCCCACCCTGAGATACCTCATGTGCACATTGGTATTCTTGATTTGTGACCTCCTAGGAAAGTATCCCCTCCATGTGTGTTGCAAACAGCTATTTCCAGTGGGGAAAACAGGATAAAGAGGGGAAGAGAGCAAGGAAGGAAAAAGAAGGAAAGAAAGGAAGAAGAATGAATGAAGAGGGAAGGAAAAAAGGGAAGGAGGGAGGGAAGGAAGGAAAAAAGATAGATCGATTATAATGAGAGAGAATGAGGGTAAATCCTGCCTTAGCACATGGCCACCAGCAGCCTGCTGCCTTTTGCCATCCCCTTGTCCCTCCTGACCTCTCCTGGTAGTCTCCCATCCTATGACTGAGGATGCTTTGGTTACAAAGCCAGGTCTCCTCATAAGGAGATGGAGGGGCCTCCCTCTGACCCACACACTTTGCCCTCCCACACACACCATGAGCAACCTGGCCAAGGAGAGTGAGCACAGCAGCAGTGGGTGCTGGCCACGCCCACCATGGCCAACACCACCACCCCAAGTCAACCACAATCCTGATGGGTTTGACCTACATCAATCTTTCCCAAAGTATAGCCAAATATAGGGAAAAGGCTATGATTATAGGGATAAAACTTTTTTCCAACCTCTAAGATTAGAACTTCCTGAAATTGTAAGTTCTGGTTTGGGTTTTTTTTCCCCTCCCCCTGCCCTCTCCCCTGCAAATGAGATAATCCAGCACCAAGTCGAAGAGAAATTTGGCTTGGCTGATCTACACAATTTCCTTTCCAGGATTTCCAGGATTTTTTTAAAAAGTCAACAAAGAACTGAACACAAAAATATTGCAACTATCAGCAAACAAAACTGAACACAAACATCTCTCAATTCTTATTTCTGTCTTGATGGCCAGATGGATTAGAGCATCAAAGTTTGCAGTCAATTGATTTATATTTAGAACCGCTCTGTTCAAACCTCAAGAGCAATAAAACTGATTAAAGTCAATTAGTGGAAAGAAGCAATTAGCAACTCCACAGTAAATTCTTAAACAGCTCTGAGAATAAAGTCTGCTCTTGTCTTATAAAAATACAATACTGTATTGGTGCCTCCTTTATAACTAGAGGAAAGATTTTTTTTCCACAACTGAAATCCTATCACTAATTGTACTGCATTGTTTAATGCTATGCAAAAATTGATTCATATCCTTACAAAAAATAGTGAGAGTTGTTTCCTTGTGCCTGGTTGTCATACATAAAATTTTAAACTGTGAGCTGTTCTACAAAGTAGCACCTGGTGTTATCAGAGAGTGCAGCATTGTGAAATATTGTATTATGAAGTATTGTAAAAGCATGAAATCAATAACACATGTCAGAGGTAGATTGAATAGCATCAATGCTAAGAAATGATACACTCCAAAAATGAATTAAAGATTTATCTTTCTCTTTTTGTGATAACAGTAATAATGGTTGTAAATAAAAGATGGTTAGTTATTTTGCTTCTTGTCCAACTATTTGCTTTCAGTACCAGCAAGTTGAAGTTTAAAAGAAAAGAAATTCGTGATTATAATAACCAACTATTTCATTAAATTGGCAGATTGTTCAGCACACCTACTGTACATAATAGCAAAGTTGAACCAAATTGCAGGTCAAATACATTTATATAGTATTGGCCAAATCTTACGGAAAGCAGCCTATATAAAATTCTTCATGAATTAGGGATTAAATCATTTATGAAAATATAATATTGTCACCTTTCAAAAAACCACAGAGAAGTCCACCAGGAGCTATAAGGCAAGAGGTTGAAGGTATAAGAACAGGAATAGATGATTTCTGACACTGGGATAAAAGAACTGGCAGGTAAAGGTATTTTTTTGGATCACCTGAATCAACATGGAAAAATATATATTAATAATAATACTGTAATATACATCTTATACAGGAAATATTACACGATACATTACTGTTTCCAATTCTTAAAAATTAACTTTTTCAAATATAGAACCTCTGGACCTTTTCTATCAGAAAGAGATATAACTTTCAAAGTTTAATTATTAATCTTTTATCTTCTATAATTAAAAACCTCCATATTGAATTTTGTAGCAATTAGAGGTAAGAGGTCTCTCAATTAATATAAGATTGGCTTAGACATTGTTATAAAAATTTCTCTAAAAATAACTAATAACTAATTTCCCAATGAATTCAAATGAACTATTCCTCCCCCAAAGGTGTAGCTATCAACAGAGCTCACAATGCTAAAGAGAAGTGTGTCTTCCGTAGAAGAGATCCGCTTTGGGACTCCAATAAGCATTTCAATCATCCAAATCAATAAATCAGGAATTATTTTAAACTAAAGATAAAGAACTGAATTGCTTCGTATCCTTGCTATCCTTTGGAAATGACTAAACAGTTATTTTCGAATTCCTACATAGCTCCACTCTGCCCCTCCTGTTGTTTGTTATATATTTAAACTATAAATGTTTTCTACTGTAAATCTGGGTTTAGGTCTTGCTTATTTGGTGAATCACCCTATTAGATTTCCCTTGTGCACTCATGTTTGGATGTTTGCCTGCAGCTTGTTTTATGGGACTAATTCTTCAGGTATATATGAATAGTATAGTTTAGTTCTGCCTTTGCTGTTTATATCCCAGTAGTGACATTTACAGATTAAAAACCAAAACATCATAAAGAAGTATAGAATCAGATTTTTTCTATAAAAATCAGAGGCTCATAATTTGCTCTACCTGGTGCTACTGGTATATCAGCTGCAACAATCTGATGAAGACGGCCTATGAGCTGTGAAGCCATCTGGCATGGATCTTTTATTAAAACCGTCTTAGACAATTTGAGAGTTTCACTTAATAAGGGTAAGTCAGGTATAGTCCTGTTGGGGGAGCCAGAGAAAAAAATGCTCAGCATGCAGTTTTGATTTCTTTGCCCTCATAGCAAATGTTTGTACATGGTTTTTATACAGAAGCTTTCTAAGCCTGAGCTATTGTATTTCTTATTCATTGCATAACAAAATGATGAGTAGAATATAAACACAAAATAGTTGAGTGACAAATAATTAGTGTTGAAATACTCTTATTAAGAGTAGGAAACATGATATTAAGTGAGTTGTTGAACTATTTTTTCCCTTCATTATTAGCCAGCAGGCACACCAATCAAGGCTTAGGGGAGTTCAAAAACAACCAGTTAGCGTTCTTTGAGAAGATGGCATACAGAACTGATAAAATAATGTCTACAAGTTCTCCGGCCAGGCTTTATCTGAATGTTATTTTGATGTATAGTGAATCTCTAAAACATATTTCAATGTAAACTACTCCAGACTTTCCATAGTTGATACCCTCTGGAACCACCTAGTTCTAGTGGAATTACAAATTCTAGCCAGCTCAAAATGATGTAGTAAGTGGGGAACAATGAGCTACTTCATTATATTAGATTAATGCAGAATTCTATTTTACTTTTGTGAACTGACCTGTCAGCATTAATAGCTGCTCCTAGATCTTCTTCAATACTGACAATTGATGAGGCCCAGGATTTGTACAAAAGAAATTCATAATTAAAGAGACATTCTTTAATCAGAACAGCAATATTTTTTGATCTGATGAGATGGTATGGAGCCCCAAAGATTTTACGGACATTGAAGTTGTAGCTGGTCTTGGATCCTTTTTTTAGAGTCCAGGCCAGAGGCTGAAATATTGATGGTTCGTTGCACTTCCTGAACTCCTGTGAGCTTCTACCCAGGTAATAGTCAGCAAAAATAGCATGTAGTGATATTTGGGAATCTTGTGATTTCAGGTATCTTTGTATGCACACATGCTTTAAAGATATATGAGCCCAAGTAAAAACATATGTGTTATCAGTTCTTTGCTCTCTCAAATCCTCTCCAAGATCATCTAAAATTTTCAGCCATAACACTAGTGGAAATGCTGACACTGAGCTTTTTTGGAATTTATTTATTTCTTGAATGACTACAGAATCCATTGACATGAGGTTGAGCAATTCTTCCTGAGTGATGCCATTTCTTGAAAGTGTCAAATAAGCTGCCATCCTTTGTATAATTTGTTCTCCATAAGATCTTTCCATTCTGCTCAGCCTCCAAGAATACATGTCAGGTATACTTTGAGGGAGATACACCTCTTTGTCAGGGCTGAAAGATGTCCATAAACAGGATTCCTTATAAGCACAGTATAGGTAAAGTGGCAATGGGCATGCTCTGCATGCTTCCCTTAAGTGATTGAACTGATATTGAGAGAGTCTTCGATGATCCTTTTCGAGCCAGCAGGTGATAATTTCATTGATTTCTTCAAATGTTAAAGGAGGTATTTGAAAAAAATGTTCTTTCAAGGTTATTTTCTAAATAAAATAAACATACCTCAGTTTTTGCACTGTTATTACCAATCACAAAAGCAACAGGATCACCTTTGCTAATCAAATGCAAGACAACCTAATCAAATATTAGAACAAAGGAAATTTTACATTACAGTGAGATTTTTCTGTCACTTAATCCAGTAATCACAGATTTGATTTTCAGGTTTACAACATAAACTCAAAACTCAGCTGAAATTGTGCATGTTTATTACACATGTTGCACGTGTGCACAAACCAAAGTAGGTTTACATTAAACTGTGTATAGATGAACAGGAGCAGATCTTTCCCCTTAAATCTTGTCTTCCTGAGTTCAATTTCATAGCATTGTTTCACCAATTCTACCTAGTACTAAGAGACTGAGAAAAGACCAAAATACCAGGGAGATAAGACATGAAAAGCTTTCTGTTGGACCCACCCTTCATCCTGAACACACACGGTTCCACCACAAAACCGCGGACGACAAAATCGCGGTCGACGAAAGCGCGTATGTGACGTCATCACAGC